TCAGTATACCAGCAAATCTAATTCCTGTTAGAAAATACAACATTCATAGTTTGCTGCTAAAATGAGAACATTGAAGCGGTTTATGAAAGCCCAGGGTCATTCCCTCTAACTGCCGTCAACCTGGTGAGGCTCTTGGGGGCTGCTCTGGGTTTTTACGAAACAAGGTGGGTAGGGGCTGCACCCCACGTGCCTGGGAAAGTCTTGTGTCTGGTGGATGGGGACTCGGCTTCCTGCTCCTCCCAACAGAGCCAAGTTCACTTGAGGTAATACATTTGCCTTGAGGGTGAGGCCTGGAATGGCATAGAATGATCTACCCGTATTTGCATATTTAACCTGTGCTCTTAAAAGGGATTAGACAAAAACCTGTTCTGTGTAGCTGCTTACTCACTTCCTTTAGAATCGCACGGGGTTGGGAGAAGCAGGTGCCAACTGTTGTCTCATTCTCTGACCCACTAGCCTTGCAGTGTGTTGTGTGGGTGTTGGTACTAAATTAAAAGGGGGAAAATATTTTAGATGGCCCCACTCTTCATCCAAATACCCTGGTGTCATTTAAGAAGTGGAATTCTAATCCCTCTAGTCAGGAGCCTGGCCCAGAGAGCCCGTTGCAAGTGGCTGGCTGACTGGACGGGAATAGATAACGGAGTACAGCTAAAAGGGTTTGACTGCCAGATCCACAACTTGTGGCTTTTTCAAACATTGGACAGCTGCGCCTCTTAATTCAAAATACGTGTTTCAAAAAGCAACATTGCTTGGCTCCTGTTACTTCGTGTCAGCAGCAGTTGCTGCTTTAGCTTGAGGAAGCCTTACAGCAGACAGGAACGTTGGCATCTTTGGGGCACACTTCAGAGTAGGTGTGACTGGATTGCATTGTTTGGGAAGGAAGGGGCGGAGGATACTACCCGGCAGGGTGAGTGTGTGTGTGGAAATCCCCTTCAGAGGTAATCAGTCCAGGTGTCCGACCTGTTTCTTAACCGTTTCCAGATGACTCAGGGGGCAGGGTGTGCTTGGACGTGCTCCAGTTCTCCTGCACCTCGTCCTCGTTGGCCTGTTTGCACTGGGAATCACTTCCCTGAATTCTTGGGGGGAGTGGGGCTTATTCTGCACACCTTTGGTTGTAAGAGACCGCCCACCCCAAGTGTGGCATTTCCCCGGCGGACAGATCCTGTGGCAGAGACAACGTGTTGTCTCTCCAGTGGAAACCCGCATTTTAGGGGCGTCGGGTAGTTAGGGATTTGAGAGAAGGGACAGTCCCGTCCTTCCCTGACGGTGGGGAACAACTGGATCGCTGTTGTCATCTTTGACCCCTCACCGAACTGGAAACAAGTCAGGTTCCCGGTTGACTGGTGCCGGATGGAGCCTGGCTCCCTGTCCTGCAGTGTCAGGTCCTCAGCCTCTCAGTGAAACAGATCAAGGCCCAAGAATAACCAGAGCAGGCTTCCTGCTGCTTTCCTATTTGCGGTGCTGTCCCCCCACGTGGCAGTTGTTCTCATGTGACAGGCACTGAATCTTTCTCAGAGGAGCCGAGCCTTCTCTGACAAACGCCACTTGGTCAGGACCTCATTCTCAAGGCCTTCCTCATGCCCTGTCCCCTCCGCGGCGTCTTCTGTGTGCACCACACTTTGCCAGTCATCAAGAGGAACTCCCAGAGAGCGCGATGGATTAGTCTAACCTTGACCATAGCTGCATACCAGGCACTTGGTCAGAACCGTGCCGCGCACACGTTTCATCCTCACAACCAGCCCATGAGAAAATTAAGACAGGCATCATCTGTCAGGTCCAAGAGGAGGTGGCAGAGTGGGGTTTCAGACCTCGCCTCGGCATTGTGACTCTTCACCTCTGTTTCGCAGTGAACCCTAGTTTCATGCTGCTGCCGCAGATACATGCTGGAAAAGGAGACGGAAAACCCGGGCCATTTAAATAGATGACTACCCTGTAGCAGAGAGTTGGGGAAGCCAGCTCCGTTCTTAGCGTTCCTGTGTGGGCAGGTTCCCAGAGTGGTTGCTGTTTGCTATAATTATGATTACAAAGCAATTTCTATTTGGACGGGGTTTTTTTTTTAAATATCAAAGCACTTTCACATCTTGAATTTTATTTGATCTTTCATAACAACCCCGTGAAATAATTAGGACTGCATTAACCACATTAAGAGGGGGGAAAAATAGAGGCATGGATTTGGTTTACTTTTAAGTCCCTGCTGAGCTTAAGGTGCTGAAGGGAAGAGCCAAAGTAAGTGATCTCCCTCCAGCAGCCTAGTCAAGGAAGCAGGTCGATGGCTCCAGACTACAGTGAATGCCAGGGGAAAGGAACAGTGCTAACAAGGGTCACAGTGAGTCTGACGAAGTGGCATTGGAACTGAGCGATGAAAGTTGAGCGACTTTGGACAGGGATCGGGAGGGAAACGGGACAGGCTGTTATTAGGGGCCATCAAGTTGGTCTACTGCAGGGATCCCTTGTGACAGTACAACTGCCCCATCGTTTTCTTGACTGATCTTTTGTGGATCCCATGTCTTTTTCGCCCAGAGCCTCTGGTCAAGCTCAAGCTGCTTAACCATTTGTCCTACCAGGGCTGCTTTGGGCCAGCCAGCCAAGCAGTCAGGCAAGACTGCCTTCTAAAATTGGTTCTTGCACCAACCTCCTCTGTCATTCTTTACCTCTCGGTATCTTGCTTTGGACGCACCCACATAATTCACCACTCCCTCATATGTGTTGTTTTAGGGTTGTTTCCTCCACCAGAACGTAAGCTTTATGAAGGCAGGTGTACCACAAAGACTGCTCTCTGGTGCGGGCCTTGCGTCAAGGCAGTGCCTGGCACTTGACTGGCTCACAATGAATGTGTGCTGCATGCAGAAGTCCAGGTGGAGCAGCTGTGGGAATATGAGCAGGCAGGAGAGGCTACCTAAGGACCCAGCGTGCCAGACAGGCTGGAAAACAAAT